CTAAAATTTTAATTTCAAATCTAATAAAAATTATCTTAAAAGTGATTGCATGAATCAATTGAATTAACTTTTGAATTCAATAGATAAATACTTTGATGTTTTATTAATTATAATCTCATTTATTCCCAGAATTAATGATTAATTATTAGCCTGAATTCAGTTTTTTTTTTTAATTAATGGGTTAATTTAGATAAATTTGAGTTACGTTTTTTAAATTAATTAAGTGTAAAATGCTTGACTCCAATTCCAAAGCAGCCAACATGTACTTAAAAGGTCTTGGGACAGTCCCGTATCAATGAACATTGAATTTCAATATTTTTTGAGGTCAACCAGTTATGATCAGAACATGGTGGATGTTGAGGGCACAACATATTTTTTTTTTGCTATTTCGTAGGAATCTAGAAAATTTTGAAAAGTAAATGCTGAGATCTCAATCCTACGTTAACAAGTTAAAATATGAATCAAATGGCCTGATACATATGTAGTAAGACAAATTCTTTAATCCAAAATTTCTCAAGGAACAACCATCATACTTGACTGGAGACAGGAGCTAAATTCAAACTCCGAGTAATTGATTTTTTGAGCAATCTTACACGACTAAATCCCCATTTGAATTCCATCACAAGTTGAATCCAAATACAAGCTCTAGTAAGATCAAATCAACATAAATTTCTCCTTAAATTTTTTTTTCAATCATAGCTACAGTAATTTTTACTACTTTTTCTCATCCAAATAAAGCCTAACTCTTTGAATCCGAGCACTAGATTCAGTGACTAAAACATGTATTCTTGTTCCAGCGTTAGCAATTTTTTTTTTCTCATAAACTGCGACTTCAAGAAATAAGGTTAAAAAACAGCCTCAAGTTACACATCAAAGGGTATGCGACAGACCAATTCTGTAGTTCAGGTGTCATCCAAGGTAGGGTAAGGAACACATGGGGAACAATGGATCCATTCTGAATACAACATATATAAAGGAATTTTTATTCTTTAACCCACAAATGTTGGAAATAAAGCAGCTAAACCACACCAATGAAAATATGGGTGGAGAATTTGTGAGAGGAAGGAAAATTTACAGCTGATCAAGCAAAAGGCAATAGATCATCTAAAATATAAAGACAACACTGTCATGAACCCTAGACTTTTGGTTTCGAGCCACACATTCAAAGATCCACATCAGGTTCCTGATCTCCTGCTCCCTTAATCTCATGTATACGAAGAAAACACCATAATGGAACTGCTCTATATTGTCCAAGAAAAGCAAATCAGAGAAAATCCAATATGTTATTTCCTTGATGATAAAAAGAGGGAAAAACAAAAATAAAATCAAGAATATGATGCTGCTGTGCTTTTCTTTGTTTACTATAGTGACAGCAATCATTGGTGCCTTAGAACTCAAGTACAAACCTGTTGCTCAAAAGCTAAGCAAAGCCTTTTCACTTCCTCCTCGTAAAATGCCCTGTCAAGCATCTGGCTCTCTCAATAAGAAAATTTAGAGAAAAATGATTGGTATGGGGGATATTTTTCCATCACAGCTCAAACCTAGACGGCAACCCAAGCATAAGTCTAAGAACTAGAAGTAAATTCATTTAGGCAAGCATAACAAATTAAACAAACCTGGTCGATATCCTCACAGACAGCAAGTTCCTTGTGACCATAAGGATAACTGTTTAACATGAAGCAGCATTGTCAGAGATCAATACTCCAAAATTATCTATAAAGTAAAAAAACCTAATCAGGCATGAGAGAATGATCTTACAGCAGACCAAAATTAGAGTATAGTTTCTTACGATCATCACGAGTAAGTTCAGTGCCAATGCTGCAAAAGGTAAACTGGACCAAACATGCTTATCAGAAAATCTGAGTTAAGAAAGTATCATGAGTAAAACAAGAAATAGCTAGGAAGTAAATCATTTCCACAAGTAACAGTACCTGTTAATGGTAATATTGACAGCCCTCCTATCCGCCTCAAAGGCTAAGAGGTCAGACATGATCTCTGCAGTTGCAGCACCAAGTTTCTATGAGAAAAAAATGTTCAGCTTAAAAGGAGGTAGGAAATAACAACTTGCACACCCAAAAAAGAAATAGTCACCCTTTTTCCTTTATTCGGAGCCTTACCTGACAAAACTTGTAAAAATCTTCAAGATACACTTTGTAGAGAGTGTTCCTCATAATTTCAATGTTCATGTCATCAAGGTCCTAGAGAAAAACCAGATGAATGAATGCAAGAAGCAAAGGCTTAGAAAATGAAATAATTCAACAAAAACAATAGTCCTTCAGCACCGGTACTAACAGTCTAACATGCATGCTTATACAGAGACAGATACATACAGACAGAATCAAAGACTAAAACTAATATGGCGAAACATTATTAGAGAAGTTGTTAGAACCCTGTACTGTACCTCAGACGTTATACACTCAGAGAAGTATGGAGCCAGTGGAGTGTCAACAAGAACCAATCTATAGAGTTCACGCATGTTCTGAGCAACTGCCAGGGTTGCAATGCTGAAGCAGCGACAAAAAGAAAAATGAGCATATGTATTATGAGAGGTCAGATACTAATCTGATCTCTATCCAGGTGTTAGATTACCTGTCAAACATGCCCAAAGGATGGCACTTCTCCAAAAGCTCCTGAACATCTCTCTCATGCAATGTTCCAGTAACAATCAAGACAACATTATCAATCATGTGACCATACCTGAATGGAACAATCAAAATGTTAGCTTCTCTTTGGTTGACACTAAATCCACAAAAACCTTTTAATCAAACTGCTTCTCTACACCATTTTAACAGATAGTTTTCCATATATCCATGAGACAACTCAAACGAGCCCATCCATTCAGGCAGCTATTTTCCATCTTGAGCTTAAAATTGATTAACCATATCAAAGGATGAGGGGAACAAACAACCCCTTCTAACTTTAAGGAAATATTAGATCAGATTGGTTTTTCCCCTACTAATAGGTTAAATAGTTGACAAAACCGCTAAGCAGCATAAAGATGTGCACAATTCATGCCACTATGTCAGAACCCCCAGTGCTCAGGTGTTACTGAATTAACACTTAGCATTTTATGCCTAGTACTAAAAAAAGACTAATGTTACAAAGAAAGCTGCACACTGCAAATATTCAATTAAATCAAATCTAGATCATATGATGTGAAATAAATCAATGCCATCCCTGTATCTAACAGCAGGATAAATCGACATCTCTCAAGCAATTCAAACAAAGAAACAAAAAGAACATATTTTTACATACATGATATACTCTCAGAAAGTGGACAATGGCTCGGTAGCTTGGCATAGCATATGCTTATACTCATCAACAAGTTTAAGTGTGCATTTCTCGACAATCGTAGTCGTATGCAATGGTGAAGGTTCTGCAAAGCATCAGCAAGTGTTATAAATAAAAAATTTAACAATACGTGCTTTAAATTAACTCTCCAAAGTTGTAATTAATATCAATTTCGATTCAAGTCAAACTAAAATCAATGAATTACCTTAGTAGATTTGAAATTGAAAAAGCAATTAAATTGGAGACCATGAATAAAGAGAGGGAATAGGAATAGAAAAAGATACCATTTTGGAGATAAGGGCTGTACTCGGTGGCGGAGAGGTGCATTTTGATATCGTCAAGGGTTTCGCATTGGCAAAGATTGTTGCAATCGGCAGCGGTTAAGAGCCCCGCCCTATGACCTCTCACGATCGCTTCCAAGTAACCGCCGTGGATGTTGAATGTCATCGCTTCGAATCCGTGATCGCAACATTTTTTGGAATTACAAAACTGTCCTCCATTTTATTTCTTTTTACAAAATTTGGAAGGTGATTTTTCCTTAATTTAATGATAGGCACTAGCTTATGAACACATAACGTAGATTAAATAAATAAAAATTAATTATTTAAATAAATGTTTTAAAATTTGTAAAAAAATGTATAATTTTTTAAATATAAAATATTAATTATAACCATTACAATTATATTTATAATAACCGATAAATGATTAAAACAAAATACCTTGGCTGAATTAATAATATATCTTATTATTATTAACTAACAATTCTTAGCATATTAAAATGAGATTATCGAGGATTAAAGCCAATGGTAAGAGAAGAGCTTTTTATGTTCTTTATAAAAATATTTCAAAAGTAAAATTTTGAAAAATATATCAAATCGATATAAATATATATATTTTTTAAAATCACGTTACATAAAAAAAATTAAATTTAAACAAAACATGAAAAATATTTATGTCCTTGATTGTCTTATAGAAAAACATATATAAAATGATTTTTTTTTTCAAATTAGCAATTTAAATGTATATATGCACATTTTAGAAATTTGGCATTCTAAAAAATTTTTTTGAAAGTTGTTTTTTTTTTTTTATATATAGCATACAAATTAGTAAGACAATTATTGATGTGCATAGAGACCATGTATTTTCTCATTCCTTCCAAACAAACCATATAATATAGTATAAGAGGGAGTATACATTATCCCAAATTCCACTTCCTTTAAGGCTATTGTCACCTAAGCTACACTCATTTTTGAGTTTGTTCATTACAAATCTCATGCAACAGCTACATCATTCAATTGTTTTTACGAGAATATTGTGGGTTCTACAAGTATTCCACAATTTTAGCTAATTACATAATTTACAAAATTGCGGATTTTGCAAGACATCCACAATGCTAGAAGTAGCTGCTTTTCCTGGTTTTTGGTTACAAAGGTAACCGTAGCCGAATACATGAAAAGGGATTGTAAATGTTAGGATTTGAACCGTAAATCTATTGGATGTCATATCTTAAGAATGACTGCATAAAATAAATAACTGGACTAAGCCTCGGGTTCTGCTACTTTCTTATCTTTCTAAACCATACAAACTACACATTCTTACTGTTTTGTTTTCTGGTAGATCATAAAATGAATGGGAACTCTGATTCTTGCAATTCTATGCTATCTTTACCAGAAGAACAAATGAATGGGAATTCAGCATTTCCATCATAAAATAGGCCTCCAAACTCATCATTAGTCTTTTTGGTTCTTTGGTTCGTCATCTGCATCAATGCTGCTTTCATCTTCAGACACATTTGCATTCTTTTCTACCAGTTCTTGAAATATCGAAGATCGAAGAAGCAGGCCTAGTGCAGTAGGTGATGAAGACTTGTTGTATGAGTTGACAGGGATTTTGGATTCAAGAACTTGTTGCTTTTGTGGAGAGTTCATGTAATCTGTGGCAAAAGAGTGGTAGATTGAGGGCTTAGATTCCTCTCTTGGGCTGTAGCTACTTGTTAATTGTAATGATTCAGGTTCTGTCATTGCCACTAATTCATTAGCAGCAACTACATTATTTGTCCCTGGCTTTAACCATCTGATATAAGTACTCAAATCAAAGTTGGTCACAGCATTTATCCCTCTATATTCAATTGCTGCAATATCATAAGCGCGAGCAGCCTCCTCTTGGGTGCCTGCAAACCAGATAAACCAGTTGTTTAGGCAAATACTAGTCTATATCTTTTTATACATGGCTGCAAGGTTGGCCATATTTACACAGGCAAATATAGAAACTTACTGTAAGTGCCAAGGTAGAGATATTTGTTCCCAAAGACTCTCCCTATTCTTGCTTCCCATCTTCCATTGTGATGGTGCCTTCATGCTTTATCCAAAGAAATCTTTAATTTTTTTTTCTTTTGCATAAAAAATATAGATACTAATCACCAGATTATCAAGAAAAGTACCTTGCAACTCCCCTGTACTTGGATACACCTCTTGAAAACCCACTGCTCTTTCTGTGACAAAGAAATTCCGACCGATGTTATTTGGTAAGAACAGCCTTTAGATATAATTATATCAGTTTGTAATTTGATAGACAGAGCCTTACCTTCTTAATGAGGCCAAGTACTCCTCTTTTGTGACAGTTTGCATTATTTCAATCTCACATTCATAGTCTGATATCTGCAGAAACCATCAAGGGAGTTAGATCAGTTGTTTACATGGTACTTTTATTAAATGAGATTATGAGATATACATACCGGAAAATTGGTGAAAGTTGATGTCCCCCAATACTTCAGTGCAGCTAAATCATATGCTCTTGCAGCAGCTTCTTCATCATCATAAGCTCCTGAAAATTTTAGAAAAGAGACCATTGTCATTTCCCTTTAGCATAAAAAGAGTTTTGGGGGGTGGAATCTATGTAGAAAAGTGAAACTTGACTTAGCAGTGAAGTGATGTACTCGCCAAGATAAACTGCAGGATTCCAAGAGTCGATTCCACAGCAGGAATGAATGGAAGAACATAAAATCATGCAAGTAAGCATCCTGAATTCCAAATTATAATGAAAACAAGTGAAATGCAACAAAGAAACATAGTTTACCTTGTTTGCCTTTCTTCCTCTGTGTAACAATCCAAGATAGCTTATCCCACAAGTGGGCTCCATACCGGCCAGTCCATCTATGCCTGTTCATTTTCATGAGGATAAAAAGTTAGCCCTAGAGAAATAAAAGAAGGGGAGATGAAACAATCTCAGAATACTAGAAAGGTTTTTTTTGCACCTGCTGACTCCGCGAAACCTTGAACTTCTTTTCACAGAGGTAACAGCATTGATTTGATCATATTGTTGCTGTGGTTGCTGACCTTGATTGTCATCATAGGCAAGTGCAACTGAAGCTGGATGTCTTCGCCTTCTTTTGACTGACCTTACTACTTGAACCTCGCCATCAGCTGAGAACATGCGGCGCCTTCCTAGGTATTGCTCATCCTTAACAACCATCATTTCCATCTCTTGTTACCTTGATTGTTTTCCCTCTTTTTTTTTTTTTTTTCTCTCTCTCTCTTTTACTGGCTTTTCTTTCTATGGCTGCTTGACCCAGAGGGTGTAAGAGTTCATGTATATATAATGTTCTTGTCAATAACAAGAGTGTCTCGATGATCTTTATGAGCAATTAAGACAAATCTGCAATGTCCATACAAATTTTAGGTGTCCATATTTTGTTTGGCAGCCCAAACATAAAAAGAAATTATTGTTTTTTCATTTCAAATTTCTTCACAAAGTCGGTTTGTTATTTGTGCATCAAGTAAGGTCAAACATATGCTGCCATTTTAAGAGATGTTAGTCTTTTGATTTACCTATACTAAGACTTCTTTTTTTTTTTACTAGTTACTGCAACTTGTGAACTTCTTATTAACCATTAGAAGATCAAACCTCAGCAGATTCTTAAGTTTTGTCCTGAATATTGGTGCCCTCATGGTTCATAGAACAAACCAATGTCATTCATTCGTGCTTGGCTTGAGACCTTTGATTGTTCTAAAGTGATCAAATTGATAGACTACTAGATTGCTATATTTAGAACTTGAAGCAATGGCCTCTAACCTCATGAACAATAGCTGTCTAGACAGGATAAACTGTCAAACTGGAATACTGTTAAATACGGTTATAATACCTGGCTGGAAAATTTAAACATAAAAACAAAGGATTTGTTTGGAAGTAAAAGTTTACTGTGACAATTTCAGACATGGCATTACCATATCAGACAAGTAAATTTCATAACAAATTATGTTCGGTATACCTTACAAGAAATTGTCCTGAAATTCCTTTGAGCTTTTGTTTTGTGTGAAAGAGGTGAAGATCATATATGGTTAACCAAGTTGTGATTACATGACTTGGTAATTCATAGTGATTGTGACAGACTGACAGTTTTCGGCTTCAGCTTCATTGGATTCCCCGTCCAGTTTGTTAAATTTTTTTGTATCATATGGAACTGACAGACTCTTGGAACCTCATTTAAGGGTAGCCTGTGGGAAGAATGGAGCTTGTTCCCCCTACGAAGCTCTAATTGACTGAGTTTCCTATAGAATCAACAAGCAAAGTATTCTTGCCGACTAGGTGAACTTATTATTTAATTGAGGTGGAAGGTAACCCAAGAAATGCCCTCTGGATTCTAGTTAGGAAAAATACTTGGATGAAGCATAACTTAATACTTGTTTGTTAAATACTGTGTCTTAGTTCACTATTTTTGTCAGGACAAATCCAGAAACTGCTACTAATCTATGAAAGCTGACAAATTAGATGTTATTGACTGATGGTTATATTTTTCAAACCGTGTGACAATCTCACATATAATGATCTTGTATTTCCTGTGATAACGAGAGAAACGATACTTAACCTACGAGATATTATTTATTTTAATAGAAGATGTCACCGTTTTGTTTTACAAAAAACACTTTATAAGTATGGGTTCAAGTTTTTAGATATAAATCATAATATCCTTATAATATTTCAATGTGAGATTTGAGTGTTACAGGTAAGTTCTTTCATTTTATAAAATTTGAATGAAAGGAAAGTAAAAACCTTGATTAAGCAAATATTAAAGGCAGTGGAACTTTGCAAAGTCTGTGCACAAGTAGCTATAAAGAAAATAAAAACAACTATGTTCACTTTTTTTTCCTTAATTGAAGAAATAATAGGAAAATAAAATAGCAAGTAAAAGAATGAGTAATAAACCCCAATAGAGACTGATACAATTCAATTCAACATTTTATTTGTTTGGGTTTGATTGTATCATATCTCTATAATTAATTCGGATTCTGTTTGTCATTAGATGAACAGCATAAGGCACTAACCTTCTGTATTAGTTGTAGTTAGAAGATTATAAAGTAGCTGCAACCTGCAAAGGGGAAGGTTAAAGTGGGCTGCGGAATTTTATGTCAGATTGAAGTTCCTTTGATAGCAGTAGTCACTCCATGGTTGGATCCATAAAAGTCAGGCAAAGAGAAAAACTGAAAATAGATTCTATATCTATGTGCATGGGTAGGGGACTTGACTAATTACCAAAGATTCACTTAACAAAATTATGGAGATGAAACCAAGCTGAACTCTTGCGTCTTTGAAATTTCCATTTCCAGATTCAACTAAGATAACCTGTTTTGCCATGGCATATTACATTATCCATTACAGGCTTTCAAAATTTTAAGGATCTTTACAACATTTATGTGGGTTGCCTCCCTGGTTACTTCATTCCATGTTTTGATGTGAGATTTAACATCATTTATCTTCCAATCTTTATGTTTTTTAGAAATCCAGAAATGTAACAAAACAGTCATGGGATAAGGCACAGACAGGTCAAGTACAATAATGAACTTGAATAAGGTAATGGAGAATGACCCTTTTTTGCTTAAAATTTATCATCAAATCTCCACTGAAAGCCTCAAACCAATGGAACATGGAACATTAAAATTATAAAAATTATGAATCCAAAACTTAATAATTGGTTCATGCAATCATTTTTAAAAAATTAATATGAAATTTAAGTTTCAAATTTTAATATTTATAATTTCTTCTCTTATCATTAAATTACGTTTTTTTTTTTTTTGTACAAATAGAACATGAAACATCAAAACTATAAAGATTATTCAAGCACATGCAGCTGAAAATACCAAAAAAAAAAAAAAAGTCCCCAATTGCCTAAAGTGAAGTGCTTACTTCTTTTTACCCTAGATAGCATACGCATAGGACCATAATTTTAGAGTTCACAAGACTCATTCCCTTACCTATATTCTTATAAAAACAACAACCAACATCTGAATTTTTTTAATAAAATTATTATTTCATTCACCATGATGTAGTTCTAAAATTCATATATTAATTTTTATTATATTAATTAATTTTTAAAATATACATGTTATAACTATTTGATTCCACCGTGCTATGTTTTCACTTTTTTTTTCAAATTATAAATGAAAAATGATATGGCCCAAGATTCGTCCATAACAATTGATATGGCCCAAACAAACCATGACTTGGCCTGACTCAGTTATCAAAACCAACATATCAAATACCAGATGAGGCCCAATCCAATCACATAACCTAAAGTAAAAAATCTAATAACACGTGGCATAATATAATTGCTCCTTTCATCCCAACACCGATTCTAACAAACGTACCCTATCCGACCCAATTTTCGCGCCACAACGACAGATGTGCGCAGGCACCCCTCCCCGACCTATAAAATCCCCAGCTTTTACCTCCTCAGAAAATTTCGATTTCCCTCTAGTCTCACTCCCTCGCTCTTTCTTTCTGAACCTCTTTCCCTTTCTCTCTCTGTAAATCGTGTTGCCGACATGACGGACGGCCACCTCTTCAACAACATCTCCCTCGGCGGCCGAGGTGGCACGGTCAGCCCTCTCTATCTCTCTCGATGGAACTTTCTTTTTTTTTTCGATTAATTTGCAGTTTAATTTCCTGTTTTTAGTCTTTTCGATTTCGCTTTCTCTTTTGGAATAATTTCGAAACCCTAACTGGGTTCTTAGTATTTTTCTTCACGTGGCTTCACTTTGTTTAGGTTAAAATTTGGAGGAAACTCTATTGGTTCATGCAGATTTCAGTAGTTGTTAGTTCTAGGGTTTCTTCCTTTTTAATAGAAAACCCTAATTTTTTAGCTCCTTTTAAATTATTTTTGTTTTTCGATATTTTTTTTTTTTTTTTGTTTTCTATCTGCTTCATAGATGCTTTATGTTTGATAGAAGGAAATGGACCATAGCTTTTTATAAGTGTGGTTGATTCGTTTAAAAACCCTAATTTATTGAGGTTTTGAAGAATGCCTTGTTTATGGTGAAAATCTTACGATTTTAAGTTAAGGCTTTGTTAGTTGACGACATAAAATGTGGGCTCTTTATGCTGTTAGTTTTTCTGCTTACTAATCTAGAAACCCTAATTAATTTTGTAGATAAATATTCAATATTGTCGTTACATTTTAGTCTGCTTTTGTGCTAAGGGATCATTGTGAAAAGGAAATAAAATAAACTTGTTTCTATTTACAACTAGGGAGCCTAATCTGTTGCTATTATCATTCTTGAAACATTAATTGGAGAAGAAAGAAAAAAATCTAGTCTATCCCTGAAAGGTGAAAATTAGAAAATGGCAAGAATAGGGACAAACTAGTGGAACATATGAGTGCTGCCTTCTTTTGCATGTACAGTTTAAAGCCTTAGGTATTACAGTTTGTGAATTCTATATTTTATATGTAATTTGCGTGGAAACTGCTTAGAAAAGTATAAATTTCTGCAATCTTGTGGTTCCGTCCATTTTGTCTGACTTACTAGTAAGGTCTTAAGAGATAGGGATTGACAATTTTTCCTTTTTTTTTTCCTCGTAATATTAAGTTCTTTTTTCCCCTTACTTTACTTTTCATTAACCTTGAAAAGAAATACAAAATTAGTATCTAACATGCCTGTCACTTTATGTGATGAAATACAGAATCCTGGCCAGCTTAAAATTTATTCAGGAGGGATTTTATGGAAGAAACAAGGAGGTGGTAAAGCAGTAGAAGTTGATAAATCTGATATCTTAGGGGTTTCATGGATGAAGGTCCCTAGGACAAATCAACTTGGTGTTAGAATCAAAGATGGGTTGTACTACAAGTTCACTGGATTCCGTGACCAGGTTAGTATACAACTCTCTCCCTGATAGTGGTATATTTCTCATTCTATGGAACTAATGGTTGTCAGTAGCTGTTATGTACTATGGTAATTGAGAAAAAGTATTAGCATTGTATTTATAGTCCTTGATGGGATGGGAATGCTATCAACTCGTGATTCTTATTTTGTTCTGTTAATTTTGCTTTGTAGGATGTTGCCAGTTTGACCAATTTTTTCCAAAATAATTGTGGAATAACACCAGAAGAGAAGCAGCTTTCTGTCAGTGGTCGTAACTGGGGAGAAGTTGATTTAAGTGGTCGGTGATTTTTTCTGCCTTGTTTCACTTTTATATAGTTGTCAGTCACTGTAATGTTTTGCCATTAGCGGATGGTGGTATATTATCTTTTATGCATGCTATAACTTCATATCTTGTACACTAGAGAGAAGTTTATGCTTCAGTTTGCTACATTCTAGCAGCCTTTTAATTGAGATCCCAAGGATTTCATCATTTATCTTTGTCCTTGGATCATTGATCTTTATCCTTTATGGCTAGGTTTTGGATTCTGGCATTCACCTGGTTTTGGTTTGCCATAAACTGCTTATTCTCGTAGTTTTAAAAGCCTCAATATTATGTATGTAGGAAATATGCTTACCTTTATGACTGGTTCGAAACAAGCTTTTGAAGTCTCATTAGCAGATGTGTCACAAACTCAGCTTCAAGGAAAAAATGATGTCATCTTGGAGTTCCATGTGGATGATACAACTGGAGCTAATGAGGTGTGTTTCTCATTGTTCTGCTGATTATTTTTTAATGTTGGAAGAAGTCTCTCTCTCTAAGTGCTTGCGACCACTTATTTGTATGTAAGCTTTACTAGTATAGGAAAGTTTACCTGCAAGGCACACATTTGCTTTTTTTTTTTTTAAAGTGTTTTTCTTCCTTTTTGACAGAAAGATTCTCTGATGGAGATAAGTTTCCACATACCTAATTCTAACACCCAATTTGTTGGTGATGAAAATCATCCACCAGCTCAGGTAAGTTTGTCATCACTTCTCTGTTAGGATTGTGTGAATGTACAACTTATGATTACTTTAGTGATGTCATTTCCCAATAACTTTCTCTAGGTTTTCCGTGAAAAAATCATGTCTGTGGCTGATGTTGGTGCTGGAGTTGAGGAAGCTGTCGTCACTTTTGAGGGCATTGCAATCCTCACACCAAGGTAGGTCTTGCCCAAACATATTGAGATAGGAATGAAAAATCCTCACACCTAATCACATTCATGCGTCATTCATATATATATATATATATTTGATTTTTCATTTGTTTCTTTTGTTGGTTTATAAACATTGTTTTCTTACTTGTATATGGCTGATTTAGCATGCTCTTTGTATAGGGGTCGGTATAGCGTTGAACTTCATCTCTCATTTTTGCGACTCCAAGGACAGGCTAATGATTTCAAAATTCAGTATAGCAGTGTTGTTCGACTGTTTTTGCTTCCAAAGGTTTTAATTCTTTACCCTGATATCAAGGCGGTAATGTTCATTGATAAAAGTGTGATAACATTTTATTTATAACCTCTTAACATTTTTTTTTCCACTCTTTTGTGTGTATCGCAGTCCAACCAGCCTCATACTTTTGTTGTTGTTACACTTGATCCACCCATCCGTAAAGGGCAAACTCTGTATCCCCATATTGTCTTGCAGGTATCGATGGTTGCCTTGATTTGTGTTCACTGGATATGCCACGAGTGTTTTGCACTTATATTCTCCCTGTTCAATTTTTTGCAGTTTGAAACTGATTATGTTGTTCAGAGCACCTTGTCCATGAATGAGGATCTTTTGAATACAAAGTATAAGGACAGGTTGGAACCATCTTACAAGGTAATAAATTTTTTTCATATATAAGTCCATCCAAAGCACTTATGCCCTTTATTTACAAGCTTGTTTTTTAAATTTATACCTATTTATTATGCTTGATAAAACAGGGACTCATTCATGAAGTTTTTACCACAATAATGCGTGGTTTATCTGGTGCCAAAGTTACAAAACCAGGAAAATTCCGTAGCTGTCAAGATGGTTATGCAGTCAAGTCTTCACTGAAAGCTGAAGATGGAGTCCTGTATCCACTTGAAAAGAGCTTCTTCTTTCTACCCAAACCTCCTACGCTTATTCTTCATGAGGAGGTATTAAGTCCAAACTGTCGCTACATTGATCTGTTGGTCCAAATGCAAATGATATATATCCATTTTATGTGAAATGTTTGGCTGTTATTTCCTTTTTGCTCAAAATGACAGATTGATTATGTTGAATTTGAGAGGCATGCTGCTGGTGGCTCAAATATGCATTACTTTGATCTTCTCATAAGATTAAAAACTGAGCAAGAACATTTATTCCGGAATATTCAGAGAAATGAATATCATAATTTGTTTGACTTCATCAGGTGAGGCTAATATGTTCTTCCATTGGATGAATAATTTTGGTCCTTTGGGCAATTTATTAACTGCTGTCTGTCCATGCAGTTTGAAGGGTTTGAAGATTATGAACCTTGGAGATCTAAGAACCACTGATGGTGTGGCTGAAATTCTTGAAAACGAGGATGATGATGCTGTTGACCCACATCTTGAACGCATTAAGAATGAAGCTGGTGGCGATGAAAGTGATGAGGAGGTAAATTCTTTTATCAGTTGTCTGGATTTATTTATTTGCAGTTTGAATTTTATTTTGGTAGTTGTCTTGTTGAAAAATGTATAGGTTGCAGTTTTCTATTCTTGCCCTGTAATGCTGCCAAGCAATCTTCAATTTATTTGCATCTCTTATGTGGGCAAATGTTTACATTAGGTTTATATGCTTTATCCCCAAACATGAAGCGTGTGTTAAGCCCATTGGTTTGGTAGTAGTAGTAGTAGTAGTAGTTATAGGAAAGAAGTCATGTTCCATCCTCTTGACTGCTTGCATGTAAGATCAAGTACCAATCATCATAGATGTCAGCATCTGACCTTTTAGCTTCTACCTGTCGTCACTGGTTGTCTTTGTGTCGGTGTTGTAAACATGGTGAATCAATGCAGGATGAGGACTTTGTTATTGACAAGGATGATGGAGGCTCTCCAACTGATGATTCTGGGGAGGAAGAATCTGATGCTAGTGAAAGTGGAGATGAGAAAGAGGCAAGTCATTTTGTTCCTTCACATACTTATTCTTGTAATGGAAATTTTTTGATGAGAAATTATCTTTTGGTATCTCACATTGAAACGGAAATTACAGAAGCCTGCCAAAAAGGATACCAGAAAGGAAGCTTCTTCTTCCAAGGCAAGTAAGAAGAAAGCAAGAGATGGACAAGATGATGGGAAGAAGAAAAAGAAGAAAAAGAAGGATCCAAATGCACCAAAGAGGGCAATGTCTGGTTTCATGTTTTTCTCACAAGTGGAAAGGGAGGTGGGTCATATTTTCTTATGTTTTTCTTCTGGCAGCCAATCAATGAAATGAGCATAGTGAATGTGGTTGGTTATGTTGTCTTTTACAGAATCTAAAGAAAAGTAATCCTGGAGCTTCGTTCACAGAGGTGTCGAGAATACTTGGAGAGAAGTGGAAAAAGCTGTCAAGTATGGTGTTATTTTTCTTTCTGTTTCTTTTAAATCGATTTCAATGACCTTTTTAAGCGGAGGATGGTAATAAGGAACTATATTTGTTTGCAGAGGAGGAGAGAGAACCATATGAAGCAAAGGCTAAAGTAGATAGAAAGCGTTACGACGATGAAAAGAGAGGGTATAATAATCCTCAACCAATGAACATAGATTCAGGAAACGAATCTGACAGTGCTTAAGTCACTGGATTTAGAGTGGAAAGACTGAATTCAGTATGTGTGGTGTGGCATATTAATAGATTAGAAAAAAGGAAAAATGGCAGTGAGACTACTAGCAACCCAAAGTTTTCGTTGGAAGTGTTATTCGAATCTTCACATTTTGTAAGGTGTATGCAGAGACGGGGCAGCAGCTGTATCCAGTTAAAATCCTATAACTACGTTAGTCTAAGAAAAGTTCTTATCTTTAACCACCTCCCCCCCCCCCCCCTCCCCCTCCAACCCCCAACTTGAAATTTCGTTTGCATCTCACTTGAAAATTGATTTAAGTATTTACTTTTTTACCAAAAAAAAATCTAGTAGTACTTTATGGTAATAAAATTAAATTTTATTTACCAAAAGAAATGAAATTCCTTGAGATTATATGTTGTTAAGGTAAAGGTTTGATATCAATTCCATCATCACTGTTTTGAATTTAAAAAAAAAAAAAAAAAGGTTGATTCAATTGGAAAGTTTAGTTGCGTCAAGACTATGGGTGTCAATGAATCGGAGGAGTCGATTCAGTTTGTTTCAAAACTTCAGTCTGAAACTTGGTCAAGTTCAACTGATTTTTATTTTTAATATTCAATTCAGTTTGTAATTTATATTAAACTTGATTCGATATAATTTGATAAAATTATAAATGTAAATATTAAATATTAAATTTTATTCTTTATATATATATATATATATATATATATATATATATATATAACTTCTAGTTTTTAATGCATCTTTAATTGTATTTGTATCCAAAAAAATTTTTTTTTTTTTTCTGTTCCAAGTTTTTACCCAAAGATAAGTAGGGTTTTTCTATCCACTTCTAATTTGAAAAAAGAAAAATTCAGGATTGGATGAACCTTCTCTCCTAACTGTTTTCATTCGCAGAAAACCCAAAAGCTGGTTTCACAAAGAAACCAACACCATGGAACGTTTTTAAATTCTACTCCAAAGAAAAGTTTTACAGTTTTTTTTTCTTTTTTACATATAAGAAAATAACCTAAAAATTTTTGTAAACTCCATTCTTTCGTAGAAATGAGGATTGTCTCTAGCACTTAACCTTCTTTTTGCAGTTAAGAGCCCCTGCAAAACGAGTGAGCCTTCTGACAAATGATGCAGGCTTGGCTTTGATCATCTGCAAATTGTTGTAATTCCAATGGGGAGGTGAGGGTGGTCCAGAGGTTCTGAAGAAGGCTCCGTTCATGAACAAATCTCCTTCTGATCTCCATATCCATTTCCTCCATTCTGACTCTGGTGCATAGTTCCTGTTGGTTATCTGTAGAGAAGCAATCAACAAAACAAATTAGTTAATTGTATGAACATCAAGTTATGAAAATAATTACTCCCTACTTTGTTTGAAATTATTGTTTAGATATATTTGGATTTACCTCTTTGGCTTTGGGGTCGTCCGGAGCAATGAACCTGTTGCCCTGGCTGATAATGGTGGGATGCATGCTACCACCAATAGCATACATTTTCCAGTGAGTGTAGTCATTATTGACAACATGAAAGAAACCCCATCTGCATCTAGGCATTCTTTGTATCAGTTCCTTGCCAAAATGGTTGAATGCGAGTGTGACTTGCATGAATTTATCTCTTGCATAGGTGTCACTTGCACCCAACAAGATCACCTGAAGAACAAAACCAAGCATGCTTAGTTGGAAACTGCGTGATAACATGTTTAAAAAATATGAACCTTTCGAGTGTTTAAGGTAACAATTACATCGTTATGATGGGTGAAATGGCAGTTTGAGATGGTGATTGCAGTGGAACCCTGGATTGCATCAATGAGTCCATCTTGACACTCGGACATGGAAAGGTGATCCAGCCAAATGTTTGTTGATCCAAAGATATTAATTCCGTCTCCATCACCTACCGTCCGGAAACCATAGTGATCCACAGAGTCCCTTATTAGGCCACCACTTGATTTAACAATGTGATGAATATGAATGTTGTGAATGATCACATTGTCCACAAATTGAAGGGTGATGCCAGCTCCATAAGCAATATGAACATTTGCTCCACGGCCATCAATTGTCTTCTTGCTTTGGACTATTAGCTCCTGTGACAATTTGATGTTCATATCGCGAGCAAAAATGATCCACAAGGGCTGCTTCTGGATCACAGCGTGACGCAAAGTTCCTGGCTTGGGGTTTAGCACATTATCATCAGAATTATCTGTCACCAAATAGTACCTTCCCATCTTTCCTCCCTGAGTCTTGTGGCCAAAACCAAGCACGCAATTTGCCAGCTTCTTACGGTTCTTGGCCCAGTTCTTCTGGCATCGCCAGCACCTGTCAATTGGGTTAGTCGCCAGGCATGGACCAGTGTTCTTCATGTGCTTGCCCCTCAAGTTCCTCCTCGTGCTGTTAGTACCAACACCCTCAAATTCCCTGGTTCTATTACCAGCTTTTACAAGAGCCCTGCACCAAATCATTCAAGGAATTAATACGATTATGCCTCTATTTAACATTCAAGTTAACAAAGTTTAATTTTGGTGCTACGAGGAGTATCCCTGTATGGTGGAGGGAATTAAATTTGGGACCTGTGGCTCTCTATCTGTCTAAAGGATGGCAACCAGACCATTGCCTGGTGACTATAAAACTTGGTAACATTATGCGCGAGAATGTTACAGAATATGAATACAATAATGAAAAGGAGAGACAAAAAGAAAATGCTATAAGATTTACATGTTAACATTGAAGTTCAGGCTGCTGGTGATATTTTCTGGGTCCGGTTCGTAAGCTGCCAGGGTATTCTTCCAGGCCCGTTCCTCACGTTGCTTCCAAACCTCATCAAATTCAGTAATATTTGCCCATAGGCTTGGAATTAGGGTGGCAAAAGAAAAGAAGAAAACAAGCCGCAGCTTAGTTGCCTCCATTCCTGTTTCCCTCGTACATATTTTTATGCTGATCATTTTTTTTTTTTTGGAGATTTTTTTCTTGGTTCAATTGCAGGATGATATGACAGGCCCTTGGATTAAAATCTGAACACAATGCACGTTCAATCCCAGCTACACCAAGAAGATGATGAAACCTAAATATCGAAGGCTCTATGATGCCAACTTGGTTGGCGGAGCCTTTGGTTATTCAGATGGAACCGAAGAGCTTTTCGGCTTCCTTTAAATAAACCTTCCAAGAAACTGAATAGTTCTAAAATTAGATCGCAGAGAATGGGCAACCATTCTCTTACAAAGCAAAAACCACAGGCTGTTTTTCTCCACAAAATCAGAAATCAATTCGGACTCTTTATTGAATCAATGCCACCAGCCAATATGTGTCACATTCAGGAGTTTTAAGCTCTCACATACAAACTTATGGCGTCATCGAACGTAACCTTCAACAAACAATTTTTGAACATGTTTATGTTTGATTTATATTTATTTATATTCATTTATTAAATTTAACAAATAATCACAAATAATATTTTATAATTTATTAATTAAATAAAAAATTATAAACATAAATAAAATTTAACCATAAATAAATAAAACGTTTGAAAAACAGTATATAAACATATTCAATTTTTATTTTTTTTATTTTTTAAAATTAACAAACGACTATACAAATATTTCAAAATTTATTAATTAGTCTAACATAACAAAATTCATTCATATTTAATTTTATTACACCTTATACAAAATTAAGCAACAGATCACAAATGAAAAACCATTTTCTTTTTGTTATAAGTCCTAACAATTTTACCCAAAACCATTTTATTTATCCCTCACCAAACCACATTTTGTCTGTCCTTTACACAAGGTTCAAAATCCCACTGCAGCCTGCTCCTCATTTGTTGATGCTTAGAGCTCACAATTATCATTGCCTATTGTTCTTGAAAAATTGGAAAAGAAATATAGAATTAAAAAAGAAAGGAAGAAAGAATGAGACAAACTTTCCGAGTCTGATAATGAGACCTATGATTTATACAGTTCTGAACATGTCTACATATTCAACAATTCTGTTCATCCCTTCAGGAAATCTCAAGAGTATATTATATATATGTGATGAGATACACTTTCCTGAAGGGTTACATCAGCTGGAACAAAAATTTTGCAGCAGAATCTTGTTCCCTATACACATGCTTAATACAAAAATGAAACCAAATACAATGCCCAAGAAAAAACTTCAGCCCCTTTCGGCACTTGCCTATCGAATTCAAGGAGCAATTTGCTGTATCTTGTGGGAATCAATTATAAATGTTGTTGGCAGGGGAAAAGAACTTGTCAGCCATGAAGTGAAGTATGATCTTAGATGCACAATATTCGGATTTGAGTTGAAAAATAAAAGGATTCTGCTATATTTATGACTTTAGTCAGAAGAAAACACTATTTGATATCAGAAAAATATGGCATGGATTACTCAGTATTGGAGCTCTTGGTGAGATTATGTTAGAGATTTTCAAAATAAAATATAAGAAATAATTTTATATTGAAAAAAAAATAAAGATAGATAATTAAATTTGTTCAAAATAGAGAAATAAGTCTATTCAAAATGAACAGTTTCAACTATTAAAAAACAGACAATTTTTGTCTATTCAAAACAGATAGTTATGTCTGTAAGAAAGAACACTTATCTGTTTATAAAAGGCTCCTCTAGTTTTCTAAAAACATATGAAAACAATTTTTGAAACTCTCTCTCTTTCTTCAAAGTCCAGATTTTTTTTTTATAAAAGTTTTGCTACAAAAAACTTTTATAGAAGTTTAGTAATCTTTTGATATGCTGGTGATTGCGGTGGACTAATTTCATCAGTGCAAAATGCAGTCAATTACTGAGCTTTATTGTATTCTCAAGATTTATTATTTACAACATTTTTACATACCTACTAAGTAAACAATATGATGAGAGCAAATAAAACCTTAAGAAAAGTGGTACTATTACACGCCTTGGAGTTTTCCTTAAAATTTCAGATTTACCAAAAGTAGTAATTCCAATTTTTCAATGTTTGCTCAAACAATCTTAAGGTTTTATTCATTTCAACAATGGCTACTCAAGCAATGCTCAGGGAATTGGCTTCTAGTTTTATCAAATTGGATCGTTTTGATGGTAGCAATTTTTTAAGATGGTAGAAGAAGATGCATTTCCTACTTTCAACCTTGAAGGTTGTGTATATTCTGACTACTCCTAGGCCATAAGAAAATGAAATAGAAAAATCTGTTGTTGCAACAAGAGAAAGGTATAAGTTGGATAATATAGACTACATGTGTAAATGTCATAGTCTGAATGGTCTATCTGATAGCCTGTTTGATACCTACCAAAATGAGGTTACCACAAATGAGTTATGAGACAAATTGGAGATCAGGTATATGACCGAGAATGCAACAAGTAAGAAATTTCTCATTAGTCATTTTAATAATTATCATATGGTTGATGGACATTTTATGATTGAACAACTGTGTGAAATTAAAAGGATGCTTAATCAGTTTAAACAATATAATATGAGTATGAATGAAACAATTATTGTGTCCTCTATAATAAACAAATTCTCTCTATCATGAAAGGCTTTTAAAACAAGTTTGAAACATAAAAAAAAAAGAAATCACTCTTGAGGCTTTGGCTAATCATCTTCGAATTGAAAATGAATACAAAAAGCAAAAATAAAATTTTAGTTCTGATGATGCCAAAGTTTATATTTTGAAGGAAAGACAAACTACAAAGCTCGACAAAAAGAAGTTTAAGTTCAAGCAGATTGCTAATGGGCCTAAAGTTAGAAGAATAAAAAAGGCTCATATTACCATTGTGATAAATTAAGACATTTCAAGAAAGAATGTCGATTGCTACAAAAGAAAAATTATTCTTCAAAAAGGGATACTTTTGAAAATTTTGTTGCTATGATTTCCAAGATTAACATGCTTGAAAATAATGAATCCTGGTGGGTTGATTCTGGGGCAACAAAACATGTGTGCAAAGAGAAAGCATGTTCACAACATTTAAACCAAAGAAATATGGCAGTGTCTTCTACATGAAAAATTCTTCTATAGTAATAATCAAAGGCAAAGAAACTGTTGACTTTGAAGTCACTTTTGAAAAAACTATAACTTTGAATGATATTTATTATGTACTAGAATTTAGGAAAAACTTAATTTCTGGAAGTCCGTTGAACAAATTTGGTTTAAATTTGTATTTGAGGTAAATAAATTTATTCTGTTTAAAGGATGAATTTTGGTTGGAAAAGGGTATGTGTATGAGGGAATGTTCAAACTCAATATTATTAATAAAAATAAGAATGTTATTTTTGCTTACATGGTCGAATCTCCTTGTTTATGACATTATAGATTAGGTTATTTAAATTATAAAAAATTACACGATATGAGTAAGCTTCTGTTAATTCCTGAATTTAGTCAAGACATTAATAAATGTAATACATGCATGTTTACTAAGATTACTAGAAATCTTTTTCTAAGGTTATAAGAAATACAAAGTTACTTGAGTTAATTCACAGCGATGTTTAAAATATGTATAGCATTCTTACATTATCTGAAAAAAAATATTTTATCACATTTATAGAAGATTGTACTAGATATTATTATGTTTATTTGTTATATTCTAAAAATGAAGTACTTCATAAGTTTAAAATATATAAATCTAAAGTTGAACTTCAGTGTGAATCTTTTATCAAGTGCTTAAAGTCGGATAGGGGTGGAGAATATTATAATCCAGGTTACTTTGAATCCACTGGAATAATCCACCAAGTTACTACTTTTTATACATCATAATAGAATGGTGTAGCTGAAAGGAAGAACAGGGTCTTAACAAAAATGATAAATGCAATGCTATTATGTTCGGGCTTGAACAAAGATTTTGGGATAAAGCTTTATTAACGGCTTATCATATACTAAATAGAATTCCTAACAAAGAAACAAAAGTAACCTCATATAAGCAATAGAAGAAAAGAAAACCAAATCTTAATTATTTAAAAGTTTGGGGATGTAGAGCTATAGTTAAAATTTCATAACCTAAAAGGAAAAAATTGGGTGAAAAAGGAATAGAATTCATATTTATAGGATATGTACAAAATAGTAAAGCATATAAGTTTATGGTTATTGAACCAAATGATTTAATTTCAGTTAACACTATTATTGAATCAAGAGATACAATTTTTTATGAAAGTAAATTTAAATCTATTTTGAGATAACTACAAGCAATTCATCCTATAAGTGGAAACAAAATTTCAAATTCATTGGAATAAACTAAAATTAGTGATGAATCTTGTTAAGAAATAAGGATAAGCAAATGAGTTAGAAATGTAAAAGATTTTGGACCAAATTTCTTTATGTTCTTTTGTGGAAGGGACTGGTGAAAGCATAAATAATAAAATTCCTTATTGTTTTAATGCGGAGTTTGATCTTGTTATATATGAAGAGGCAATAAAGTCTCAAGATTCTACTTTTTGGAAAGAAGCAGTAAATGATAAAATGGACTCAATAATAGGATGTAACACTTGGATTTTGGTTGACTTTTCATCAAGTTCTAATCCAATAGGCCGTAAATAGATTTTCAAAAAGAAAATGAAATGGCATGGAACCATAGATAAATTTAAAGCAAGGTTGGTAACCAAGGGCTTTACACAAAGGCAAGGGATAGACTACTTTGATACTTATACTCCAATAGCTAGAATTGCTACAATTAGGCTTCTAATTTCACTTGCCTTGATTTATAATTTGATTATACATCAAATAGATGTAAAGACGACATTTTTAAATGGTGAATTAGAAAAGAAAATATATATGGAACAATCTAAAGGATTTATCATTCTATGTTAAGAGCATAAGGTTTGTAAGCTTGTAAAATCCTTGTATGGAATTAAGCAAGCACTAAAACAATGGCACCAAAAGTTTGATGAAATCATTCTTGCTAATGGTTTTAGAATTAATGAGTCATATAAGTGCATATATAGCAAATTT